AAACCATGGCCGGAGGTTAGCGTATAGATAAATGGATGAAATATATCATATACGAAGGTACATGTGTTCGAAAAATTCTTTGGCCTTCGCCGTGTGGTTTCGATAAACAGAAATAATGATTATTTTATTTAAATTTGCATGCATACTGGATTATGTTATGAGATCGGAAGGTAAAGGGCTTAAGTCCCACGTAAATGTAACGTACAACTTTTGCAGAAATTTTTAGATGGGTGGCCGAGTTACTTAGCTGCGGTTTTGCGTCGGAGGTCATCCTTCGTTGCCATCATGCTGGGCCGGCAGCTGCAGATAAAATCAGTTGGCAATTTCTGAGAACTGAACTGATAACTTATCTGGGCCTTCGTGTTACGCTAAGTTAGATAGCAGTGGTATCTTGCAGCAGTTAGAGCCTTCTCCGGATTAGTCGTTAGCAGTCAATCAAACTACAGCCATGCCACGATGCGGCTCTTGTCACCGATGCGTTCTGTGGGCCTCCGACCATAGAGGGCGGAGGTCTTTGGCATCCAGATCCTGAGTGTTGTCCGAGGCGGAGGCCGAACGCTGCAGGACAACGCCCGGCCGAGGCGGTGGTCTGAATGATGCCTCAAGTCGGTGGTTCGGTCCACGTTGTGCATCTGAATCTGCAACCAGCCAAGGGTGTTCTGCATGGCTTGCTGGCCTGCGCGGTCGTCGGAGGTTGGACCAGGTACGTGCTTGTGTTCTAGTCAGAGGCCTTGAGTTTTGTACGTTGCTTGTTGGAGTTTCTCCTGGCACCTTCGCTGGTTGTTAAGCAAAAATAGAAGAAGCAAAAAAAAAAAAAAAAAAATAGAACAGGCATGTTTGACATGTAAGTGAGGGGATGCTGATACTAAGAAGTTGATATTGAAATGGTTTACTCCACACTCGGAGCCTGGAGACGCGAAGGTCCCTTGTATGAAGACGTGCGAATTCTGGCGAAGGCTGAAGATCTTCTGTTTGTTGTTGTTGTTTTATGTTTTTTTTTACTTAACGTCCGAAAGGTTTCAACTCTCAAATCTTTGCTCGGAGGTTATAGGAATTCGAAGCTTGGCCCAGACCTCCGACACTCAGTCGGAGGCTCCTTTGGGCTTGCATTCTAGCCGGCGTAGATGCTGCAGGCAAACAATGGGAACGCTATGCGTGCTCTATTGGTTAGCCGGAGGCTATATATTTTTGTCAAAAGGTCTGGGAACAAAGAAAACTCATGGATGTATGTGCTGGACTGCCCTGTGTGATCCAAATCTCCGAAGGCTTATATAGACTCTGCACATCTTTGTAATGTAGACAAAGCTTAGTGAAGCATTGCATAGTTACTGCATATAGGTGCATCATGACTGTAAGCAAACTAGGTGTACGAATTGGTATCGTGTGGGATTAATGGTGAGGCAATAATTACTGCTGAATTGGAAAGAGAGTATATGAGTATACGTTACTTATCTGGCCTTCGTACGATGGTACAATATGTGTTTGCTGGCCGGAGAGGTGAACTGTCGTAGCAGGTAGAGCCTTTGCTTTGGCGTTTGGGCTGTCCGACTTTAGCAGTCGACGCCGCGCATCTTGAAGGAGGTTGAGCGTTGGCGAGCCTAGGCCACGGCCTACGGCGAGTGCAACGCTGCCTGATGGGTGCACAGCGAGCACGGTGGTGTGGCTCGCAAAAGGTCATGAGCACCGCAGAACCATTGGCGTCGTCGAGGTTGGGGGCGCCGTCGTCGTGGGCGTCCAGGTGTTCCGGGACACGGGCGCCCGGGCGTCGAAGGCGAGTGTGGAGACGGTGGAGTGGATGCCGCGGCTTGCGGAAACTGAGTATCGTGCGCTCGCACGTAGGACGTTTCCTATGGCGGAGGTTGCCTAGACCTGGCCTGTTAGCTTGTGACTTTGTTTCCGCACATTTGCTGTTAGCAACAAACACTAGAAATGAAAGTAGCAATGCATTTGTTAAAAAAATGAGAGGAGGCTAACGCTAAGAAGTTGATGTTGCATGCAATGGTGCCAACTAGACTCCGGAGCTCGGAGACCCGGAGGTCCTGTAAACCAGAACGTGGCTTATTGGATTGTCGGAGGTAGCAAGGTAGCAGGTGAGTGGCTCAGATCTGCGATTGCTATAACAAATATGCTTGACTTCCATGACAAATATGAAAGTCACGGGCTCAAAACTTAGCCGTGGCACTATTTTTGGGTTTTTGATGAATTAAAGCTGACTTATCTGAACCGTAGTTGAGGTGAGAAGGCTGTCAGAATGACGTCCCGCGTAGTTGAATCTCCATTGCATGGAGGCCGAAAGCTTGGTGCCAAGGTTGGGCACCTCGAGGTCTTTGGGATTTTTTTTATGAAACTAACGTGAAGGTTCCAACTCTCAACTCTCAAAAAAAAAAAAAAAAAAAATCGTGCCGAGCACGGTGGGTGCCACTGTTGAAACATCGGTTTTAACAAGAGTGAGAAGTGGGCGGAGGCCTTCGTCTTAGGTTGGGGTCTCCGCCATAGATGGGCGGAGGCCGGCCTCCGCCTAAGACGGGCGGAGGTCTTTGAACGCGGCGCACTCCTGTCGGACAAGATCGTCCATCAGAGGAACATCGGTTTCTAACAAGAGTGAGAAGTGGGCGGAGGCCTTCGTCTTAGGTTGGGGTCTCCGCCATAGATGGGCGGAGGCCGGCCTCCGCCTAAGACGGGCGGAGGTCTTTGAACGCGGCGCACTCCTGTCGGACAAGATCGTCCGTCAGAAGCTCTCGGGTAGAAGGTCGCTAAACGAGGGATTCGGTAGGCTTTGGCAAAGTGGGAGTAAGAAAGGGGCGGAGGCCTTCGACTTTGGCCGAGGCTCTGGACTCTAGCTTCGGTGGAGGCACTGCCTGAAAGAGAGAATGAGGATCCAATACGGACTCACGAGACTTAGGGTTTCATTCATTCATTCCCCGGCCCCCCGCACGGTTACAAGTGCTCCCTATTTATAGGGCTCAACTACCACTTTACAGAGTTTACAACAGTGCCCCTCAACTGCTACGGTACATTTCAGGAATATTCCAGCCCTAGTATCTAACCTCAGGGGTGTTCTCATCACACCGTCTCGCGATGTCTTCACCTTGGGCCTAAGCCGACACCCACTGGAGGCCCATCAACTGTCCTCACGTATGCCTTGCTGACTTGATCGTCCCGCACCTTGGTGGGCCTCCGACGCCTCGGGGAACACCTTCGCCATGATCACTGCACTAGGCATCCGTTGTCCCGGGGAGAGCCTCCGCCATCCCAGGGAGAAACTCCACCGTCATTCTTGCACTAGACCTCCGCCGTCTTGGGAAGAGCCTCCGCCGGCTGGGCCTCCGCCGTCTTGGGGAGAGCCTCCACCGGCTAGGCCTCGCCGTCTTGGGGAGAGCCTCCGCCGGCTAGGCCTCCGCCGTCTTGGGGAGAGCCTCCGCTGGCTAGGCCTTGCTGTCTTGGGGAGAGCCTCCGCCGGCTAGGCCTCCGCCGTCTTGGGGGGAAGCCTCCGCCGGCTGGGCCTCCGCCGGCTGGGGGAGCTGCCATTATTCCTTCATCAGGCCTCTTCGAGGGGGAGTTGACCCATACTCCGTATGGGCTCCCCCAACAGGTTGAACTCCTCTGGAAATAGAGCATCATTCTGATCTGACCAAATGCTCCAACGCTTGAGCAGAGTAGAATAATGATCCATGAAGAAAGAAAGGGACCTGTAACTGCCTCTTGAAATCGACCAAAAACTTCATAAGCCTAACTAAGAGGATCAACAATATGTAGTGGAATAAAGCTCCAACAACCAGCAGCAAACTAGTAATGCAAGACCATGTGGTCCAAGTCTTTTTCACCATCAACTGAACAAAGGACATAGGAGTAAGACTGGAGCTCCATGTGGCGTCTCCGGGGCATATTTCTTGTACTAAGGCGATCCTTTAACAAGAACGAGAAAAAAGACTTTATGTTTTGGTTGGCATGAACATGACCATAGCCAAGAAAAAACAGCAGGAGTGTTGTCATGCCCGATGAGTGATCATCTATACTCTTTCCTTGAAGAAAACAGAGGGGAGCCCCAAAATATAGGTATCAAATATGAACATAATAATGTTTCATATCTCATATGATTTTTGCCCATGTGGAAGCATAGGTTGATGGACTAGTTTATTAAATTTTTATGTGATTGATTTAGGCACAACCAAAATATGCATTATTCATATATGGCTTACAAGAGAAACACTAGACCCATCGCCAGGCCAACAGTTTGCCTTACACATTATTCATAGTTTTTCGGAAAGAAACAAGATACTATTCTCCACATACATCTCAACAGCTTTTAACCTTTTATTCATAAAAACATTCAAGGATCACCAAGGAATCGTCGCCATCAAACACACGAGCCATGCCGCCGCAGGCACTGCTCCCCTGCTCAGTAGAAGGGAGCCTTCTTCTCACTAGGAAGGAGGATGTCATTCTTTTCCTGCAAAAAAAGAGAGAACATCTTTCATGTTCATAGACCAATTTCCATGAGCAATAATAAGTTGACGATGGCGAAAGTAAAACTTGCCTCAGCCGGCATGGGTTCGCCCTTGAGGAATTGCGTGAACAAGAGGAACGCCTGCGCCGGACGGTGCACGGGAACCAGGTGCCCGGCACCGCGGACGGTGATGTAGGTCAGGCCTTCATACTGCACGCTCCAGCCGCCAACCTATATATATATATATATATATATATTCATCAGTCATCACAATGTATATTTATATAATGGCCATGGAGGAAAAGGGATAAAAAAACTCAGGATTAATTCTGAGGTATATATGAACCAGGCGTTATCAACACTGACCTCACGCTCGGTTGGGGCCATGTACCAGGGGTACCAGCTAGTTTTAACAGGAAGACCCAGGGCGGCAAGAGAGCGTCTGGTCGAACTCACAGGCACTACACTGTTCGTGTCACCACTGAAAAGAGCAAAACTCATGCATTTTTAGTTGTTTCTAGCCAGCCAGTCAGCAGCTTATATATACGCCTACCTGAAGACCCAGACCCTGAGGCCAGCTTGAATGAGCTCCCTGTAGACGGGTAGCAGGTCATCGGCTGCCTGTCCCCAGTTATCAAATATGGTATTGCTGCAGACCAGATAAAGAATATGTGGGTTTTGCCCACGAAAATGAATTCAGTATCTACGGCGCCAGTATATGTATATTGTGTAAAAAACACTGTTGAAAAAAATAAAAAGCTAGAGATGAGAGACCTGCATACAACCCATGGGTACTCTATGATGCCGCTGATGTTGGCATGTAAGGCCTTCTGCACCTCGGGGAGGTTCAAGTAGTTGATGGAGTTGAAGACGGCGCAGGGGTCGTAGGGGGGCAGCATCAATGGCGGCGGCTGAACGGCAGACCGTCGAGAAGATCACCCATCGCGAAATTAATTAAAAAAAAGAAGTTAAAATGAGTCATTGTTATATATAAAGAAGATTATCAATTGCGTTCTGCTGGTTGAAGTGTAAAGTGTTCATGGCAACAACTTACGGCGCGGCCGCGGGGCATCCAGAACCTGCGCTGGTACGGGCTCTCCTTGCCGCACGTCGGCGTGTAGATGGTGTAGGGGTTGATGTGGCCTTGCTCCGCCAGGGCCTTGTTCCACACCTCGGTGCACTCCGGCTTGGGGTGCATGAAGTTGGTCCCCGGGCAGACCTTGAGCCCGCTGTCCAGGGTCTCGTCGGAGATGAGGCCATGGTGCCACCAGGACTCGAACATGCCGATCATGTCTTCGGTGTCGTTGGTTAGACCACTTGCGACCAACAAGCCTTGGAGGTTAATGAAAGGTGTGTTGTTCCTGTACACAACCTGGGCAAGCTGAGGAATAAAGTGACCTGCAAATTAAAATACTTCACAAATTAATGCATGCACAACAGTACCTGCAAACACTATGCATGTGCGTATGTGCTCGAATACCATGATATGAAATGAAATGAAACTTGAGACATCGACCGAATTATTAATGAAGTATAAAAGATAATGCAAAGTAACCACTAAATTTAAAGTTCTCACATCTGCCATCATGAAACATAATGTAAAGTAACCCCTTAATTTAATTTATATCTAAATTAACCAACATTAAAATATCGCTCAAATCTATGTATCAATACCCACATAAGCTATAATGGAAAATAGTTCAATAAATTTAAAATATGCTATATATTTCTAAATTATCAATTTGTACCATTTTTAAACTAAAAAATAAGCATAAATAGTATTTGCCACTATGTACACCAAGTGAACATGCATACATTAGGATACATATTTATTCTAACTGTTTATAAATAATGAAAATGTTTCATTAAGAAACACAAAATAATGACACTAATCGTTCACTTTAAATCATTTGGATAAGAAAATACAACAAACTAATAATATCAAAATTTGAAAGCCAAAAAATAGATTTATTATGTCATAAAAAGGATGAAACAAGAGGTGATATGACTTAAGTCAGATTAATCCCCTAAATAAACATCTACTATTAATTTCTATCATTACGAAAGAGAATTTAATGTAGCCTAAATTTTCTTTTAAATTATCCATGTATGCTATTATGAAATATAATATAAGGTAATCCCTCTAATTGGCATGTAAATTACCCATATCTTCCATTACAACACATAAAGTAAAGTATATCTAAAATCTATATCTAAGTTACCGATAGAAACAGTTATGAAATGTAATCAAATGACCACATAGTACACTATATATGTTTCTAAATTACTTAGTTCTATCACCGTTACACATTCAAAGTAAACATAAAATCTATGTGTCACCATGTATACTAAGTATATGCATACATACATTAGAGTTAAATACATAATTATAATTTATCGGTCATGGAAACAATGTTCCATTATATTAACATATTACGTACCAATATAATAAGGCAATCACACTGACATTTGATTTAAATTATATTAAAAACATATGATAATAATAATACTATAAGATTTATGAAAGATTGTAGACAATGTTAGAGCACAGATTGATAGGCCAGTTGTACTAATTTGATATTGTTGTTTTATCCTATAGATAAATTTGGTCAAACCTTATACAGTTTGATTTTTTTTTTACAAATTTAGAACTAGCTATATTTTAGAATGGAAAGACTAATATTTTTGGTGTGCTTTTTAGTGTAGTGGATATATAGAGAGAGATAGAGAGACAAATCTCTGTCCTCCAAACAGCCTCTCGTATATACACATTAACAAAAATGGTACTACTCACCGCTCTCCCCGGCAATATAGAATTCGCGGTACTTGTAGTGCGGGAATCTCTCGAACCATTTCACCAGGAAAGTATACGTGTCCTGGGCTGCAATGCAAAGAATTAGTATAGAAAAAGACACACGTGTGTGTATCATCATGAAATTTATGACACAGAAGAGAATACTAAGATTTACTACAAATTTCACAACTGATTACCGTATATCATCACATGATGGTGAGTGCCGTGACGAGCTATCGTAATATCTTCAAATTTTAGATAACTAGTACAAAGTTAATTATAGTGAATTTAGGTATGACTATAAAATATATAGTAAATTATATGCTCGCTACATAAAAAAAGTCATCCTAGGTTTTGTCTCAGTCAAACTTTTTAAAATTTGACCAAATTATAAATAATATTACAACATTTGTATCATCAAACAAGTTAGTTATAAAAATATATTCGTTGATAAATCTAATGATACTCTCATATATAATAAATATTAGTATTTATATTTTTTTTGTCAAAATTTGATAATATTCAATTTCTTGACAACTGAGAGTGATGTTCATTTTGAGACACGTACTATACATGTAAATGGGTAATCAATATTTGTCATATGGTTTTCACCTACCCATTTTGTCGTCGCCCATGGATAGGTCGGAGCTGGTGTTGCTGTAAGAGAATCCCACACCGGCCGGCGACTCTACGAAGAGTATGTTCGCGGCTGCATGCATGAACGAACGTACGGTGACATATACTACATGTGATACGAGGTCCACCGCCACATGCATGCACGCGACATCTATTAGTGCAGCCTTAATTTGTTCCATGCATACTAGCTAGCTAGGTACCTTTGTTCCATGCGTACTCGTTGAGCAACAGCCTCTCGCCGTCTGTGTGGACGCGGAACGCGCCGAGCTCCTGCATGGCTCCTAGGCCGATGGAGGAGCACCCAGGCCCGCCGTTGAGCCAGAGGACGAGTGGCGCGCCCCAGGCTCGTCGGCGTCGGCCTCTTGGAACCAGTAGTAGAGCGTGCGGCCGTTGTCGTCGTCGATGGTCACGTAGCCGCCGTACATGCCGAACGCCACGCCGTTGGGCTGCCCCGGCAGCCCTAGGATGCGGTCGTCCTCGCGCTGCTGCTGCTGCTTGTCGTGCTCGGGTGACCCGCGTGCCGCGACCGGCGTGAGGAGGAGGCCAGCGGCGGCGGCTAGTGCGAGTAGGAGCGTCGTGGTCGTCGCCGTGGCGCGCCATGTCGAGCCATACATGCCGGAGGAGCTGATGACGACGGCCATGTTTGCTCGATCTTGGCCCCCTCGACTGGCTATGCTGCCTATGCAGTATGCCTATGCATATATATATATATATATATAGGAGGAAGCAAGTAAGATTCATCTATATATAATATTAAAAGAATACATCGCCGTTGTTGCAAGAATTGTAGATAAAATTATACTACTTATATATAAATGAATAACTATCATAGTATATGTTAGTGGATGATTTTAGCACTCTAATGTGGGCAACTAAATATATGTCAGTGAATAATGTGGTTTGTTAATGCAAATAGCTTGAATGAAGATGTATGTGTGTTAGTGGTTTTGCTGATGTAAACAGCTTGTATGACAGGATAGAATGCTAATGAGAATTGAAAAATCTAAAATTATATAAATAAATATAGATATAGATGTAGATGTAGAATATATATATAACGGACGAACAGTTTGGACACATTCGGCGTGGGGCGGGATGCTATACGGGCATACGGTAGTATGTACAGTAGATAGATAACGTACGGGCCGGCACATGAAAAGTCTACACAGTAGATAGATAGCGGACGGACACATGCAGCATGGGGCGGGATGCTTTTTATTTTTCCGATTGAGGGGAGAGGGGATGCTATACCCATACTTACCTTGGTTGTACTCCACATGATGGGTATGGGCTCGTGATCCTCCTCTCCGTCTTACAGAGACGTAGATAATTTAAGCTCCGCGGTCTCATTTTTTAGCAGCGGTTGATGAAGAACCGCTCCTATATACAGTGGCGGACCCAGGATTTCAAATCAAGATAGTCATAGTCAAAAAATTTCATGTGCAACACGATAAAATTCAAAAAAAAGTTCGATAAAATAGCTATAAATTAACCAAATTGAGATAATACAATTGAAAGGTTCAAAACTTACACACTGGTGGTTCAATCACAGGCTAACTGATACGGTCTAGCATATGCTCAAAAAAAAAAAAAAGACACGGTATAGCATCCTTATAAAAAAAACACGATCTAGCATTCAGAAGAGCACACCAGGGACAGACTAACATCGATTCTTCTTCGTCAGGCTCAACTCTTCTTCCTTTCATGGCCTTTTGGTATTGGGGATTTGACTGATGGAGCAGCAGCAGCTGGGGGCCGACCCAAATCCAAGCTCTGCATCTCAGAACTTCAAAAGCACACTCACCGTCCAAATTTTATTCAATTCTAGACTCACAAACAATAGATCTACAATTCCTAAGCCTTTACAGTCCAATTTCCAATCTCCAATATCCAAACCCCAAGGCTTATAACTACATAAAAGAATGGGGATTTACTGAAACTCACCAGGCAGACAGGCAGTGCGTGTGCTTCCAAGACAGACAGAGGCCACCAGGGTCTAGGCCTCCAGGTCCAGGGGACGGGCGGACGGCCGCTGCGCCGGCCGACGTAGCCAGCTGCGGAGTTGCCTGCTGTGCTGGCCGGCGTTGGCGCGCCACGGCCCGCACGCCGGACTGCCGGGACTGGGATGTGCCGATGTGGGATCTGGCGGAGCCGCGGAGGCGGAGCGGAGTGGCGGGCGCGGGCCGGCGGGGTGGGGCTGCCGGCTGCCGGCCGCCGGCCAGGCGGAGCCACAGGGGAGGGGAGCTGGGGAGGCTGGTGGGGTGGGGCGGCCAGCCGTCGGGACGGGCCGCTCGCTGCCTCGCTCGCGCAGAGTCGCAGACAGAGAGCCGGAGAGTGCGCAATAGCGCAGACGGGGAGACTGGAGAGATGAGTAATGGGCCAAATTTTCATGGCCCGCGCTGCTGCGCAGAGTACTAAAACAAATTTGGGCCCAATTCTAGGGTAGTCCTGGGCCTATCTGGACTACCCGCTGGGCCCGCCACTGCCTATATATATAAACTGTTGCAGAGACGGCCACTCTAGAAATCGATTTCTAGGTGTAATCGGTATTTCAAACTATTTGTGGAAACATTATGGACGTTTTTAGGGGTGACTAGAAACATCGACCGCCCTATCGATTTTCGAGGCCGGGTAGTGAAATGGTCCGCCCCTAGAAATAAGCGAGGATAAAAAGTTATATTTTCAAATGAAGTCGGATCAGGATAAACTCTATATTAAAATTATAGAGCTCGACAAGATCTAAAACATTGTAGTTGACGACTGGGGGTCTAAATGTTTGTTTTAAGCTCTCAGATTTTGAAATTTCATTTTTTTTACTTTTTTAAATGACCTCAAATGAAGGTGTGCCCTATACGGCTATACCATATACATGTAGTGCTCGACGAGATCTAAAATTTTACGGTTAACACTTATTTCATTTGAGATCGTTTAAAGGCTAAAATATTGAATACAAAAGATAACATCCTATATATATATACTAAGCCACAAGTGACTGTCTATGTAGTAGTAGTAAGGGGGTCTCGCAGATGGAGTGGTTACGGGTTCGAAACCTAGGAAACACACGTGCACATATTTCACGTGAAAAATCACTGTGACTTACGACCTCAACCGTGATGGATATTTCTTTGACAGTTTTAAAATTTCTAGAAATTAAACTTCTAGGAAAATGATTTCTAGGGTGATAGTCCTGGCTGCTAGCCACCCCTGCGCCTCTCAGCTGCCAAGAGGATTTTTTTTTATTTCTAACACTTTTTTAAAACTATTTCCAAATTTGACACTGTATTTTTTTATTTTCAAATCTAACACTTTTGGCCGCGCCTATTGCCACGACGCGACCAAACAACGCTGCCGCACCATGCATGGCGGCGCGGCAGCGGCGATGACGTGGCACTTCCCCGGGCCCTGGCCGCTGACGTGGCAGGCGCTGTCACGCCACAGATCTTGGCGCGGTAGTGCCGCACCATTACGCACGGCGCGACAGCGCCGAGTATATGTCGCGCCGTGAGCCTCCCTTCCTCTCTCTGCCTTACTTTGAACAGAGTTGGAGGGTGCCCGCGCCGCCCCCTCCCGCCTCTCCCAAGGGCCGCCGCCGCCCGGTGCTCCCTGCCTGCCTCCGTCCCTCCCTTCCCCCAAGCATCTCCTCGGCCTCGGTCACGGTAATGATGCTCTTATTTGTTGTTTGAATGGTGGATTCAAAGATTATGAATGGTAGCTCGGGTTTGGAGGAAAAGTATATTTAGGAACTATGGGCTAGGTTTTGGAGAAAAATATTAGTGAAGGTTAATTAGTTAGTTAGAAGTATGTTTACCATGTTTAGTGTAAGGTTTATTTTTTAGTTGTAGTGCAAATGGTTCTCCTTTACATTACCAAGTGATTTTTTGATTGATGTTAAATTACAACTGTTTTGATAGATGCAAGACATGTATCGGGAAGAGTATTGACGAAAACGGGGTCGTCCTAGATAATTATACCCCAATGTATCTAGCAAAGATGCCCCCGTCCCTCCTGACCTCCCTGTCCCTAACTATGACTATGGTCGTCCGGCCGACGTGTTTCAATCGAGACATCCGAACACAGCGTCTCATTGCTTCTACACATACAGTCGTTTTAATGTAAGTAATTCTTTCCGTATGTTTTTTCTTCATTTGTGCTTCTAGGTTACTAATATTTTGTTGGAATCTTGTTGTGTAGGCCCATGAGAGGTGCTTTTTCTTTTAGTGGATCGACGGTCCAGACAAGTTTGACCCAAGGTACCTCCTTTTAGACGATTGGTGGAGAGGGAGACATCCAAATGAGCACTTCGAGCAGTGGGTCCCACCTCCCCCTAACCCCCCGCCAATGACGAAGGAGGAGAAGCACTTAGCCACAGTTAGACGACTCGAGGAACCTCCTTTGTGCGATTATGGAGATCGAGCTGTGATAAACCCTGAGAATACGTTGGAGTTTGTGTGTCCAAACACGCATGAAGTAAGTAGACAGTGTATCTGTTGAAATGTTGAGCTATAGGTGTTCAAGTACTAATGTCACCTCTTTTAGGTGTTTGCATTTACGAAGTGTCATTTCAAGGAGTGGCTCTATGGTCCTAAGAATCAATGGCCGGAGCCGCCAAAGTAAAAGGAAAAGGAAAAGGAAAAGAAGAAAGGGTAATTTTCAAAGCACCACATGTCATTTGCGAATGTGGTGTTAAATCCAACTACGGCCTAGTCCCTTCGGAGCTTGGAATATGCCATTATTGCGGCCATATGGTTGACTATGATGAGGTTGGTTATTATTGTGGAAAATATGAAATCATATTTTTTTTTCTTTTGCTAAGACTTATGGTCTAATTTTTTGTTTCAACAGAGCACTAGAAAATGCAAGTGGGAATCTTATGATGGTCAAGCTAGGTTCTTGGATGAGTTGAAGGGGAGGCAAATAATTGCACGGAAGAGGAGATATGGACCTGACTACGTCGACCTGTTCGTTAAACAACGGAAGAAGGACATGCGTGAATTTGCTAGACAGAGCGGTATTCGTAACCCGATCGGTGTCAGGCGAGAGGGCAAGGAAGGCTGCAATGGAGGAGGAAAGAGTACAGATGCTGGTCTTGAACGACCATGTTGCTGCATTGTGTGCAAGTGAGTCATTGGAAGCCATGTTATTTTCGTTGCCTGCTTTTAAATGTAATATAATCGCGTTGCTAACTTGTTGCATTTTATACATGAAGGGGATTGGATGCAGCGGAGAGCATGCCGCAGAGGTGGCCCGTGCAAGGTATGTGGAAAAGAAGTTACATGAGTATAGAACACGAGCTGGTCATAGTGTTCTATCTTCGATTGTGTTGGACAATGAGGGGGACGAGGATGAGGATGACACTGCCAGGTTGAGCGATCTCATCGCTCTAGCGGAGGCGGGCTTGCAGGCGGAGAAGGATGAGGATGACACTGGCAGACTAAGTGAGCTCATCGCTCTAGCAGAGGCGGGCTTGCAGGCGGAGGAGGATAAGGACGCGTTCTTCTCTCAAGCCATGTGGTAGTTCCATGCTATATTAATGGACAATGTTGTTATGTACTAGAACTTTCATTATGTTGTCTTGTGTTTAATTTGAACTATTGATGTACTTGAACTTTCAATGCGTAGCCTAAGTCCTACCGCAAATGGT